TTGTCAGGTCGTTTTTTGGGTATCGTTTGTGATCCTGCGTTATGAAATTCCACTCCTGTTATCCTGTTCTTAAATCCACCCAGAAATGGTTTACGATAGGTAGGTCTTTCAATTTTTACAACTACATCTTGGAATGAATCAGAATCTGTTAAAATGGAAGTTCCAAGATAGAAATATTGTTTCTTTTACTAACAGATTGAGATTAGAGCACGATTACATATATTGATACATGTTTACAAACAGCATTTACCTGTTTGTACTCTGACAGTTATGACATCAGGCATGTGGTAATCCTGTTGAACTGCTTTCCCAGGAAAACATTCCTGATCAAGACATAACTTCTCAGACTGGATAGTTTCATCAAAGTTAGCCCTAGTCCTCCTAAGAGCTTCATCATCCTCAATCATGCTTCCTAAAAATAAAACCAAAATCAATATGCTTCTCAAAACAAACAAATAAATAAATTAACTCAAGTTTACCCTGAGATGATTTCTATTGAAACACTGCAACAAAGAATAATCATAAATTTTTGAGCTGGGAAGAGAGTCTACTTGAAAGCTGAAACAGTATTATCACACACTTTTTAAAGAGATATCCAACGTAATACTGTCACCACATAAACAGTCATTCATACTACAATTTTTTAAAAGTTAGTGTTTTATATGCAAGTGCATAATTTTAAATCAAAGTTACCCATTTATACAGTCAACTTTTATTGAAAAATCTTACCTAAACCTGCTCCAACTTAGACCTGATCTAAGCATACAATGGCTGAATCACTGTTGTCTTTCACACAATACTTGATGTGGTGTTTATTCAAAGACTACGTTCTGAACCAGATCTACTTAACTCGAATCTCCAGAAATTACTTCTTTTTGATTTAGAGAGAAGAGTCCATCTGGCTTTGGTACAGTGCCCTTCCTAGGAAGCGATCGCCAGCTACTCAGAATGAGAGCATCTGAACGCAGCCCAGCCAAGAGGAGGGCAGGCAGCAGCTCCGTACAGTGAAGGGTCACTCACAGTGCACACCTGCTGGACGGGATGTGCTACCTTCCGCTCTGAAGACCTAAGAAAACAGGGCACTGAACTGGGAAGAGGGAGTAACACAGGACACCCAGAACGGAGAGGAACAAGTGCAGGAAACGATGGAGTGTTTCGGGGACTGCAGGAGAAAGGCATGGATAACAGAAGGGTGGCAGGCAAGTTACAGGGGACTCTAAAAGACATAAAGTAGTCAGGTGATTGCTATGGTCTAGTGTAAACTGTTAGTAGCCCATGTATTCATGTGAATTACGCACTGATGTTTTTCAAATGTGTGTACAAAACATGTATACGTACTCACACACGTTTCTGGAAATGAAGATCACTCTATAAAATGCCACATTAGTCTATAAATGGCTATTGCAACTGAGGTAAAGAATACGTTCCTCACCTCTTCAAGCATGTTTTATACGAGAATTTAAAAAGTCACTTCAAGACCAAAAAACCAGCAAACACGAACAGAATGAGGGTGGGGGGGGGGGCAAGAAGCCATAATCAAGTAGAAGAAAAAAAATCTCTTTAAAGCTCTAGTGTCCAACATTTTAATAACTTCTTTACCTGTTACTGTCCCACTTGCCGTATGCTCTGATAGTACTGAGTTTTGAGATGCTTGTTCTTCCCTTTCTGAATTTCTTAATTCAAGTAAAGTAAAATAATTCTCATTGGTAACAGGAGTTGTGCTCTCAGATGATGCGCTGAATGGGGCATCTGGCTCAAATACAGCTCGCTCGTTATTTCCGACCGTTTCTTGATTGCCTAGTCCTTCGCTGGGTAACTCCCACTGTGCTAAAGGCGACGGCTCCTGTTCCTTCAGAGCTGCCTGCTCCAGAGAAGACTGCTGCTCGCAGCCCTCCTCTGACTGTACAGTGCCTGCAGCTTCTGCATGCAGAGGCTTTTCTGCTGGGTCCCCGTTCTTGGCCTCTCCGACTGCTCTTCTATCTGAGGATGCCGATGGCTGCTCCGCACCTGACTTTTCCATTGTAACAACTTCAAAGCAACTACCCGATGTATCTTCCGTTTCCTACGGTATCAGTTGCACGTTTTTAACCTTTCTGCAAGAATAATCACAGTATCTATTCAAAATTACATACCAGCACATTCCTACTACCAAACATAGCGGTGACTTAATATCCTGAAAAGCTTTTTCTGTATCTGTTCCCAAATAGCCTATTTAGAATAGCATGAGGCCTTTGCTTCCACCAAATGTGAAACACTTAACGTCTCCTCACTGATGTTTAACAAACGTAATACCCCATAGCATTGCCAGCAAGTAGTCAGCATAATTCTTTCTTTATATATATCCACATATATATATATATACACGGAGATAGATATATGGAGATATAGATATATAACGAGACTTTACAGAACAGTATCACCCAGAGACAGCACACTTTTAAGGTTTATCCGCGCTGCCACTGAAGTGACATGGGCTGGAAGAATCCAAATCCCATATTCAGGAAAAAAACCCAGC